ATTCTGATGAAGTCTATCACTAGTCATATCCGAAACGTCACGTTCTCAAAAAATCTACATATTTTATCCGCGCCATGATCTTACATTGATGACAAAACTACGATGGACAATCCAGCATAGCCGGGATTGGTCTATTGGACAGGAGCAAATGCGGTAAAATGAAGATCATTATTTGTCATTAATTTATCATCTTACCTCAAATCCATCTATGTCAGATGTTGGTTTGCAATCAGGTTTGGTTGGATCTTTGCTAATATCACAGCAAAGATCACACATCTTTTCCTCCTGGGAACACTGACACTCCAAATATCCTTTTGCCTTGCATACTGATGCACTACAAGACTAAAATTTGTTGGGAAAAAAGAGGGAAAATTAATTTACTCAATAATAGAACCCTCAAATATGTTAAAGCAGCTCAATTTGGAGGAGAAAATTTAAAAAAGAATCAATGTCATGAGATTGGTAATCTATTGTTATTCCCTCAAAATTGAGCTACATTCCAGTTTGCTGCAAGAGGTCTATACAATGTACTTATTGACTGAGTGGGAGGGCCGTACGGGAAAATATTTGGCTCGAGGGGATACCGTGCAGACCGAGCGCAGCAAATGACCTAGCTCAGTCAATAAGCATTTTATCATATGACCCTAACGAAAAGAAAAATAATAAAATAAGAGAAAGTCGCAGGTATTCGAGCAGGGCCGTACAAATCCGTACGGCCCTGCTCGCTCAAAGCCATACGGCTCTGCTCACGCCATTTTCCCGAAGGTTTTTTAAGAGCGCTCGCCTGGGCAGATGCATGTACGGGTCATATGATAAAATTCAGTACAGGGCTTTAAGAATATTGGTGGTTATAAGTTTGAAATAGCCGTCTGTGATTTGATACAAGCAACTGATGTTATTTTTTCAGGGTTCGTGCTGAGGTAACAGCTTAAAATTCAAGGACTATTCAAGGAGTATACAAGGACCCAAAAATGAATTTTCAAGGAGTATGTTCAGCTAAATATGCCAAGACTAGCAGAACCATGCAAGTAATGATCAAAGCAAAAATCCAAGGGGTTTTCAAGGAGTTTCGCTAACATCGTAAAATTCAAGAGCTTTTCAAGTGCCCTTGAAAACGTGAATTAAATTCAAGGAGTTTTCAAGGAGTTTAAGGAGTAGCACAAAACCCTGTATTTTATAGGGGAAAAAATTATTCTGGGAATAAGTTAAAAGCCATCCCTGGAACTCTGGCAGCTGTTATTTCATTCTGAAAGCCCTACAGTAAAATTTTACACTGCAGGGACAGATTCAGGGCTTTGTTAATTCGAATTATAATATAACTGTTATAAATCTCGCATCTGATTGGTTGGGAGCGTGTGCTTTATGAGAGCACACAGCCACGCAAGCTATTTCAGTTGCGTCATTTCTATCCCCCCCCCCCCCCCCCCCCCAAAAAAAAACGGTTATTGAAATTTGTATTTTATTAAAGAAATAAAAATAAAAAACTTGCTTGCTGTGCTGTGTGGAGTTATAAAGCACTTGGGGATTGGCAGAACACTCAAGAAGTGTCGAGAAACACTTCGCTACGTGTCATGCTTCTCATAACACTTCTCTCATGCTCTGCCAACCCCTGCGTGCTTTATAACTGCACATGGCACGCATGCGCATTTTCTATTTCTCCAGCCCTGCCCAGCTCAGCCTTGTAGGTGAGTAGAGCTGCTAGTTGGTTCTCTCCTGTGCTTCGAGGGTTTTTCTCCGGGTCCTCCAGTTTTCCTCCCTCCACAAACATCTACTTCCTATTGGAATGTCGCTGGATGAAGAGCCACTCTGTGGACATGCCACTACCAAATCCTATTAATTATTTAATCATTATTTATATATTCATGTACTCACCCCATTTTCACAAAGTTTACGGCCTTCCATACACGGGGTTAGGTTAGGCTTGGCAGGTGCTAAAGGACAGCTTGCATTTACTCCACTTAAAAATATTAAGGTTATAAATTCAAAAAAAACTTTTTTCTGTGATCAAAACAACCAACGGAAAGAGCATGCGCTCGTTGATGTCAGCTTTATCTGTCTGTCCTCTTATTGACGATGAAAAATAACCAATCAGAGCGCAAGAAATTTGTAAGTTATTGTAAAAAGGATACTTGCAGTATGACACATTTCTACATTCCGTCTCATTCTGGCACAGAAAAGAAAAGTTGCCAGGATGTGGTTCACAAGTTTTCTCGTTACAACATAAACCTTGGCTGGGGCTATAGGGAAATAATAACAGTAAAGAAAGTATTAATTGTTATGTTATATATAAATAGTATTAATTAAGGGATCATAATAATATCATAATAATAATGATAATGATGATGGCGATGATGATGACGATAATGACGATGATAATAATGATGATGATGATATCATATAGTATAATGAAGGGATAAAGTCTAATAATCATAATAATGATAATGATGATAATGATGATGATAAAGATATCATCATCATCATTAGCAATGTTTATTTACAATCTATCATCATCTCCACATTCATCATCACATCATCATCATCATTAGTAATGTTTATTTACAATCTATCATCA